CTACACAGCTGTCACATATATGCAGATGGCCTAGGTCAGTCCCATGTAGCCTCCCCGGCTGTTGGTTCAGTCTCTGTGAGCGCCTATAAACCAGGTTAGCTGGTTCTGTGGATTTTCTCACGGTCTCCTTGATCCCTGTGGCTCCCACAGTCCTTCCTCCCTCTCTTCTGCTGGATTCCCTGAACTCTACCTAACGTTTGGCTCTGTGTCTCTGCATCTGCTCCCATCAGTTGCTGGCTGAAGTCTCTCTTACGACAATTGGGCTAGTCACCAATCTACAAGTGTAGCAGAATATCATTAGGGATCATTTCATTGCCTTTTTTTTTTTTCTTGGCGGCCATCAACTGCCAAACATCAATAGCACCTCAGCTTGGGATGGGGCTTGAGAGCCCTTCTTCCAGCCTGGCTTGAGCTTATGTGGACACTTATAGCTTCCGTGAGCTCTGGAGGACAGTGGTCTTCTTGTGTCCAGAGACACTGTTTTGCCCCAGTCTTCCCCAAGTTCTGGCTCTTAGAATGTTCCTGCTCCTTCTTCTGCTATTTCCTAACCCTCGAGTGGGACCGTTGCAATATAGATGTCCCACTTATGGCTGAGCACTCCCCAAATACCTGTTCTCCACACCTGGACCAGTCACTGACCAGCTGACGTTGTGAGTGGAACTCATGAGTTGCCAACTTCCAGCTGTTGGTGCTCTGAACAAGTTCAATCCGGCTATTTCATTACTTGGGCCTGCTTGACTTGGCATACATTTATTTACTGGAACATGGTCTCTGCCAGTCTGTATTCTGGCGACTTCAAAAAGCCATTGGAAGAGCATAGGAAGAAAGTATCGATCCGTTATTTCTTGGCAATGCTGAACATTTTAAGCATTTGATATTTTTCTAAGTATATAAATCTAATATCTATCTCATCTGTCTGTATCTCACCAAATACAATCTGACAAACCAACGTGGACTTCTCCACAGTGTAATCGCCCTACTGAAAACACAAATAGAGGCTTCTCTGAAGGGTAATCAATATCGGTATAAAAATTGAGGGCTTCAGGACTAATCCAGAGGCGGGCGAGTTGACAGAGGACCCCAGCCAATGTTTACAGAAGCTATTTGCTCAGATTTTATCAGGCGATAATTGGGCATCCCTATTTATTAAGAATCCTCCAGATGAAGGCTCTACCCCCAGGAGGCTGGGACAGGGCTGGGGTGTGAGGACCTGAAGTGGCCATGAGTGGCCAGGCACATTGTTTCCCACATCTCAGAAGAAGCTGTCCGGAGTGTAATAGCACAGCACTCCACAGGGTCTCTGGAGAGGACTAAACACTGCCCTGCACGGAGGTCCCTCCCCTTGCAACAGGAGCTGTTCCCTGGAAGGGAGGGAGGAAGCTTGGCCTCAGGACCATCACTCTCATTATCTAGGTGTCCTCTTATTTCCTTTTAAGATGACAATCATCCTGCCTGGTGATTGCTGGAGTAACCCAATGAGGGGAGACTGGCACTGTGAGCTCTCCTTATTTGGCTCAGAAATACAGGCCCTGAAGGGTTGAGCTCTCTGGGGTCCCAAGTCTTAGAAATGGGAGTCAAGACTTGAATTCCAGGTACCTCTAGTCACAGAGCTTCCATGCAGCAGCTGCTCCAGAAAATTTTAGAAAGCAAGTAATTCAGACTGAGGCATGTGGACCACTGGGGACAGCACCACCTAGGAGCTAATGAAGAATGCGGACCCTCAACCCACCCCCAACCCTGGCTGCGCCCACATCTGTTTGTAAAATGCTCTTCAGATGCCTCCTGCACGCCGTAACGTTCAGGATCACTTTGATAGATGCCCTGAAATATGACACGAGAGTCTCAACATGCGCTTATGACAGCCAGACAGGAACCCACATAATCCAAGAAGCCGTGAGAACTTGGTGGGGTGCTCAGGGATGGGACTGAGCAAGGGAGTGTGCATGGGGAAGCCAAGGGTGGCAGGCAGTCTCAGTCACTGCTGCCTGAAATCACATTGCCAGGGAGCCTCCCTTCATGAGAAAAACCCTAAAGCCTCCAAGAAAAATGCACTTGTGTGGATATATTTACTTTTGAAAGATAATATGGTTCGTTTTCTTTGTTTCTTCTTCATTTCTTCCTTTCCTCTCTCTCTCTCTCTCTCTCTCTCTCTCTCTCTCTCTCTCTCTCTCTCTCTCTCCTCTTTCTCTAATTTTTTCTTCTTAATGAGAGAAGGACAAACCAGGAAGAAATTATTTACCCAAACTGACAGGCCCCAGCAGTTTTCCCATCAGAGGTCCCTCTGCTCCTGCAGCCCTTAGAAGGTACACATCTTGTTTACTTCAGGAGTGAGTCCTCTTTGTTTCTGTATGGTACATAGACAGCATCTGTGAGTTTGGTGAGAGAAGCTTCCGTTTCCAGAGTATTTTCCTTATGAGTGTCGTCTGTCACGCCCCACCTTGTCCAGCAAGGAATGACGCCACCACCGGAGCTCTTCTCACTGCAGTTTATTCCAGGATCTTTTACAATTCTCTCTTTCCTCCCTCCTCTCTCTTTCCTCTCTCTCCCCAGGCAAACCTATCCCAGCCCTTAAGTAGGCATGGGCTGCCAACCCCGAACTGCCAGGTGGGCACTGCCCATAGGTTCACGCATATGCAAGCAGCTGATGATCATTGCGTGATCATAGCATAGGTCAGGTCTTAGCCATCTCAGGAGTTGATTATACATCTCCATCAGGTGTGACACCACGCAGCTCGCTACAGTCGTCCTTGAGTTAAAAATCCTCTTCAAGTTCATTCCAGCTGCTATGGTAAAAATATCATGAGCTGTATTATAACAACTGGGGTTCATTTTCTCAGGAGACTGGAAAGGAAAAAGAAACCAAGGGACTGCTCTCTGGTTCACAGATGATCGTATCGCCGTGCACCCTCACACGTTTGGAAGGCATCCACTAGCGTTCCTATAAGAGCACTAGTCACAAAGCCCCTGGCCTCATGAACCAGCTACCTCCCCCAAGCCCCACCCTCTTAATGTTGCCCTTGACCAGGATCTCAAAATATGAATTTAGTAAGGGTATATAAGCATCTACATAACAGCAGATCCCAAACTCTTCAAGAATGTTCCACAAGCAGGCACGCCTGGACTAAGGTCTAGGCACATTTGCCCATCAGTACTCTGAGACGTGCAGAAAGGTATCTGCTCACCACTGAGCAGCTGTGGTTCCCATCCTGGGAGTCAGGTACCCAGCGGAATTTAACTGTAGAGGAGGCTGCCCAACCTCGTCTTTTCCTGCCCTTGCCCACGTAACACTGTTGAGGCTGTGCAACACCCCTGGGAAGCTTGAGACTCTCTCGAGTCATGTTAACCCGTGTTTCCGTGTCTCAACACAGTGGCTTGAATGAATTGCATTATTTAGCCCTGACAATCACTTTTCTGAAAGCCGTGTGTGCTGCTTAGTTTTATATCAACTGCATACAAGCTGGAATTGTCTGAAAGGAGGGAACCTCAATTGAGAAAAATGCCTCCATAGGAGTCCTCTGCAAGGCGTCTTTTTTATTACTAATTAATGGGAGAGAGCTCAGCCCACTGTAGATGGTACCATCCCTGGGTTGGGGGTTCTGGGTGCTATAAGAAAACAGGGTGAGCAAGCCATGAGGACTAAGCCAGTAAGCAGCACCCCTCCATGGCCTCTGCACCATCTCCTGCCTCCAGGTTTCCACCTGCTTGACTTCCTGTCCTCGCCGCTTTTGACTTTGAACTGTTATAGAGAACTCTTAGTGGAATAAAACCCTTTCCTTCCCAAGCTGCTTTTGGTCATGGCGTTTCATCACAGCAGTAGAACACTGCCTAGGACAAATTGGCTTCAGGAGTGGGGTGTTGCTGTAACAGACCTTACCATGTTGATTTGGGGAGATGCCATCGTGGGAGGACTTTGGAACTTCAGGCTAGAAAAGTCATTGAGTGCTGAGAGCTCAGTGATCTGCTCTTCAGAAACTTGGACGATCATAATGTTGAGAACAGTGCAGACAATGGAGGCCTGGTTCTGGAAGTTTCAGCAGGAAGAACTTAATTCCCTGAGTCAAGATGCCTTTTTTCACCACTGTGCCAAGTAGAACCTCTATGCCTGCTCCAAAGAGTCAGTTAGGAATATCAGACACGATTGGTCCCGGCCTGCTAAGAAGTTGCAGACTAAGGGAGAGGTGCTGCTGGCTAAAATAATGTCCTGGTCACATACGTCATTCACATGTAGCTTCTCACGTCTACTATATCAAAGCGTATGGCAATAGAGATATTTAGGACCCTAAAGGCTGTCGTTGCATCTTTGGCTTATTTCCTAGCCCTCCACTCACACACACACACCTGTTTTCCTGTTCTGGCTTCACTTTAAAGTGGCCAAAATAGACCTGGCTGAAATGACTTTCCCGTGATTTTTGTTTGGTTGGTTTTGCTATTTAAATGTCTGGATGGACAGGATTTGGGTCAGGATGCTTTCATCTGTCACCTTGTGTTTCATCCTGTTAACAACTTTTGGGGTTGTGTGAATTGAAGCCTTGCTTGTGTGTTGGGGGGGGGCTTTAACTTCAGAAGTGATTTCGGCTTAACAGAGAACAGCTGCAGAGGGTGAACGTGCAAAGGGCACCCCCTTACCAACTGACTCTCCCCCTAATGCAGGGCTGCCCCACCTTCTTCACCACAACTGATTCTGGGGGTGAGGTAGGGGCAAGGGGAGAAGAGAGAGAAAGAGAGAGAGAGAGAGAGAGAGAGAGAGAGAGAGAGAGAGAGAGAGAGAGAGAGAGAG